CAACGGTGTTGTTTTGCTAACCCTAGCTCCCATCGTTCTTATCCCAGCCTCCCCCAAACTCGACCTCCCCGTCGAACGAAGTTGCTACAAATCTGCCTCTTCTTCCTCTAGCGGAGGGAGAGAAGATTGATCTGATGAGCTCCTTCTCCAATCGGCGAAGCTCCAGCCAGCGAGCTCCTTCTCTAGTCGGTGAACGATGGGTTTGCTTTGAGATGTCAGCAGGTATTACCCTTCCACCGCTAAGTTAAGCATTCTCAAGGGCTTAGATCCTCGAGGTCATATCAACAGAGGTATGGATTAGGCTGGATGAGACGGTGATGGCTACACTTGCCCAGCAGGTCCTCGATAATCCTCTTGTTTTCAGTTTGTTCTTCCATCTCTCTCTCTCTAAGCTTTGTATCTCACCACTCTCCCCCTTTCCCTTCTTCTTTCTTCCCACTTCCTGGAATCGAGAGAAACCTAGAAACATTCCAATTACTTCTCCAATTTTGCGTTCGAAATGCTTCTTCTCCATTCAGAGTCGATAGTGTGAATCAAAGGACCTGAAACCTGGCGAACAGATGGCCGCTTATTCCTCTGAAATGACGCATTTCTCCATAAAACATGAGTTCACCAATAGACTGTGTGGTGTTCGTAATTGTGCGCGAGCTCTTGAAGTTTGAGTTTGGTACGACCCATGAAACATTCATGCTTGTATAGGGGCGATCCATATACATTGTCTTCATGGTATGCTCTAATTGTATAGGGTCGATCCATATACATTGTCTTCATGGTATGCTCTAATTGTGTCATGCTATGCTCTAAATCATACTTAAAATATTTCAAACATCACAAATAATAAGATTAAATTAATTATTATAAAGAGTAAAAATTGTATAATGAGGTTAATTATAACTCATTTATATGTTAATGCCCTTAAATTGGTCAACGCATCAAAAAATGGCTAAATGAACATCACATTAAACCCAATATCGTCTCATTATTGTCAGGTCCATTCATGCGAGATTAGCAAGAGGTTTAATGTTTAGCAATTAACCAAGCTAAAATTTTAGAGAACCAGTCACCTATAGTTTGTACAAAATATTATTGTTTCGTAGTAGTTCTAAAAATTTATATTAATTTAAAGAATTCTACATCTCTTGCATATTCAATACTATAATTCGATATGCAATATTTCAAGCATTAAAATTTGTGTTGCAATTTTAAGATTACTAGTCATTTTATAGGTTATAACAAAATATAAATCACGTATTAAACTTTGCTTTTCATAGGACTTAATAGGCTAGCTTTTTTTTTATGAATAGACTTAATAGGCTAGCTAACCGTGATGGAAAATTCCTCTGCTTTTCAAGTCTTCGCAGTGTATGCTTACAATTCAAGAAGATAAACCAAATTATTATATCTTATAGAAAGTAATTAACTGTGAAATCGGAACTCAAGTAACATTGATTCAAACATTAAATATTAAATTGTATGTGTGGTACATTTTAGATAAAATACATGTGTGTAGCCAAAATATGGGTCTTCGTGACATATATTGACACGACCTGATCCTTATTGAAAACCAAACCACAACTCAAACCAAAAACCGGTTACTCCGGAGCAACCCAAAACCACATTTTAAATAAACAAACTGACATTATTTAAGAATTTTTAACGAAAAGCCCCAACACTTGGGCAAAATTCTCAATCTCAAACACTTAAAACGACTTAACACAGAATCTTCAGTTTATAATAACAACCATGAAACAGAATAATTAACTAATCTAACTTGACTCCTCACGAGCTTTCCGATATCCCGTCGACGTAGGTACCGCTGCTCGCCTCGCCCTGCTTCTTATCGTGATCCACTTCTGCTAGGCAAACTCCTTACTAACACATTATTAGGTCTCGTCTCGCCTTGACCCTAACCATTGGAGCCCCGCCGCCATTCTCAATTATTTGCCCCGGGGAATTTAACGCCGCCAAGCAGCAGCGCTGCGAACGAGAAGGAAAAGAAGGAGCGTGCCGCCGCCTCCCTGATCCCGATCCCGGTCCGGATTTCCTAGCCCATCCCTTTCGTGTTTCTAGGTAAGGATCACGAACCCCTTCGCGATTTCTAAACTCGATTTATCGATAGTCTAATCCGAAACTCATATTTTATTAGCGGTGACGTTTGAGGGTTCGATCAACGAGGAGATCAACGTCCCAGGTCACGTTCTAGATGTAAGGGAACTCGATTCCTTTGAGTTAGATCGATTGATTTGGTGATTTTTCGTGAGGGTAGAATTCTGGGGTTTTAGCAACAGGCTTTTAGTGACAGATTTTTTGGATGTTTTAAATTATTTTGAGCCTCTCTGAAGGTTTTTTTCTGGATCTAGCAATTTTATAAATTGAGCGACGTCTAGGAGATGATTGTAATTTAATTTGGGAATTTTTGAAGATGTATTTCTATTTTTAGAAAGAGTTCTAATATTCGTTTTAATTAAATAAAAATCTTTCTGAGGGGGTTTTAAGGGTTTGATAATTTTCCAGGGTATAGGTGCTCATGATTGACATGGAAAAATTATTGTCCAAAATTATAAGGTTTAAGTTAGGTGGAAAATTCGTCCAATATAAAAATAATTAAGAAAAATGGTCGTTCTTGAAGGGATTAATTCTAGAAATTCTTAATGGGGGTTAAAGAACTTTTGGAGTGAGGTTTGAGGAGGGGACTTTGAGTAGAGGGTGTCTGGGTTGATAAAAAGGAGGCTTTTAAATCGAGAAAGGTTGTCTTAAAGTATGAATTTCTTATTAATAGGTTTCCTGGGATTATCCGGCTAAGGAGGGAAAGAAGGCGAGAAAGTTAGCAACCGATCAAACTTCGTAGCCTCGCGTGATGAAGAGGTTCACACCGATTAGTAGGAGGAGAAGAGCCGCGTCTATTAGAGGCGGAAGGAAGGCCGAGAACTCGACATCGGTGATCGCAACTGGCGAGGGTAAAGTGATGGAGAGGCCCCGACCCTATCCTCCCCGACAACCCGGGGTGTCGGCAGTTCGAAGTTGGCCGCTGAATTGTGGCCCGATGAGGGACCTTGAAGAGAATGGCGGCGGAGCTCCAATGGTTAGGGTTGTTGAAGAGGAAGACGATGAACCGATAGAGGAGGAGCCAAAAGAGGAAAAACGCGTGGGGCTTGAGCGTGAGAATGCAGACGTTGATGCGACTAAAGAGGTGAGTGTAAAGGGAGTAAAATCTCTGTTGTAGGTCTTTTAGTTTCCGCTTTTCGTTCAAGTTATTATTTAGTTAACTGTTCTAGTATGCGCGATATGTGTGTGAGGCATCCCACCGCCTGTAAGGGTGGAGGCACGCGTTGTGCTATGTATGAATGTATGTGATGTTGTATGGATTGATGGTATGAGGAACCCCCAGGCGGTTGGGTCACTACTGGACGGCGAGGCGTAACGCAGTAGTTGATGGGCATGGACTGGACGACGAGACGTAACGCAGTGCCATTGCCGAGTTTGGGTATGCAACCGGACGGCGAGACGTAACGCGGTTGGCATACTAGGGTAGGACACCGGACGGCGAGACGTAACGCGGTGGTCCTAGTGTTTTGTGTTGAGATAAGGATAGAAGTCGAGAACTTTTATGAGTTAGTGTTGAAATTAGTTGATAAGAATGGTTATTTAAGAGCAGAAAGCGAGAACGGCTTTCATGCTAGGAAGGCATTTCTCCTAATAATGTGTTAGTAAGGAGTTTGCTTAGGGCAAAGACCTTAGGAAGTAACGACGAGACTGACCCCTTCTCACTCACCAGGTTGAGAATAGTCTAGCAGAAGTGGATCACGAGAAGAAGCAGGGCGAGGAGAGCAGCGGTACCTGCGTCGACGGGATATCGGAAAGCTCGTGAGGAGTCAAGTTAGATTAGTTAATTATTCTTTTTCATGGTTGTTAGTATAAACTGGAGATTCTGTGTTAAGTCGTTTTAAGTGTTTGAGATTGAGAATTTTTCCCAAGTGTTGGGGCTTTTCGTTAAAAATTCTTAAATAATGTCAGTTGGTTTATTTAAAATGTGGTTTTGGGTTGCTCCGGAGTAACCGGTTTTTGGTTTGAGTTGTGGCTTGATTTTCAAAAAGGATCGGGTCGTGTCATATATAGTAATTTTTTGTGACAAATCTACACATAATATAAAGATAAATTTGGTGCTATGACGAAAAAGAGGTTTGTAGAATCACTCCCAGACCACGAAATTTAAAAGAAGACTCTCATTTTCAAGTTTTATCACTATATTATGTGTAGATTTGGTCAAAAAATGACTATACACGTTACAAAGTTCCATGTTTTGGTTACACTTCTGTATTTTGTTTAAACTAAACTACACATGCAATTTAATATTAATGTTTGAATCAATGTTACTTGAGCTTCGATTTCAGAATTAATATCTTTCTATAAAATATAAATAAGTTAAGATCAATTATAAATATAGAAGCATCATCACCAAACATATTCCTAGAGTTTAATAATAAAAAATAATAATAAACACAATATACTCTAATTAGTTATAATGCTCTTTCTTCATTTAAATAACCAGAATTCGAACTCCAATAATTATATTTTTAATATATAAAGATAAAATGAGTACAATAACAAAAATGACATTTCTAAAATGAACTTTCTAAAATAACGTGCAATGACAAAAATTACCTTCATATAATCAATCTCAGGCTATATCTCGTAGATTTCCGCATCAGCATTAATGGGCTCTAAACAGTACTCATACACTGATCCTTTTCTCATTAAGAGCCCAGCCCAAATGACACAAAATGACTTCCCCATGTAATCAGACGATCGGGACCGTCCCTTTCATCCCGAACCAAATCGCGTTCGAGTTTCCCACTACGTGTACATTCAATCATCACGAAACACACTCAGCATACCAACCGTCCGATCAACGTAATAAATGATCACCCCACTTTCCGGTGGAACGATTCTCCGTTCCTCTACGTGGAGCCTATGATAATCACGTAAACCTTCGCCGCCTCCACCGTCAGATCTCCATCATAAAAATCATTTCCCTCATCCCCTCGCCTCTCATGACTGTATAGCGATTAGCGAAGAGCTCTCCACTTTCACCTCATTTTCCTCCGTTCAATTCCTCCCTTCCGTCCGCTCTTTCATATCCCGTCCCATTCCAGACCGCCGGAATCATCGCCGGCCGCCTCCGTCGTCATGGTAAGTCTCCAGAGCTAGCTCTCTTTTGTCGCTATTTGGCTTTAAAATTCGTGTCCGGTTAAGCTTCGGATCGCTATTGATCTTAGGGTTTCTCGATCTTGTTCTCCTCAAATCTTCGGTCGTTGAACGGTACTGTTGAATTGATGGCTGTGTGAGAAGTTGGGACTGGGTTGGATCTGGTTTATTGTGTTTTTGGCATTCGTGTTTGGCTATGGAGATAGTTGTAGAGACTTGAATCGATAAATACCGAAATCCTGGGGAGTTCGATGGGAAACGGGTTATCGGATGTGACATCAATTCTTATGAATTGGGACTAGTGCTAGGCTTTTCCCCAATAATTAGTTCCAGCGAATGTGATGCTGGTTATCAGAAGAAGGCATTGAGAGTAATTCATTGTTTGGGATGTCTGGTAGTAGACTTAAGCACTTGGCTTTGCCGGGATTAAAAGCAGTTTCAACTTCGACTTTACGAATCTGGTTTGGTAATATTCTGCATCCTTGTATATTGCTACCAGTTCTGTTTTTGCTTGATCGCCAGTTTTTAGCTTGATTTGTATGGAACCACACCCTTTTCCGGTGGTCCATCGTATTACGCATATGCAGTGCTGAAATAGGACAGTGGCAAGCAGGTTTTAAGTAAAGCTACAGTTCGTGTTTGGTTGGGAGACAATAGTTGAAAGTGGAATTGTCAAAAACAGATATTGCGGGGTTCAATAGTGAATGGGTTGTAGGATGTTATGTAAAATTTTCTCAGTATGGTTGATACTTAATAGTGGTTTTCCTCAAAATGTAGTTTTGTGCCATCAATAATCAATCATTGAGGGATTTCCTTTTCCAGTGTTGTGATGGCGTCTATTGTACACTGAGGTAGTTGTTAGAATTGGTAGCAATTCCTGCATTGACGGGCTTTGTTTTGAATCTTAATTCTAAAGAATATGGACTGAAATATCCTGCTGCCATGTATGTTGCTACAAATTTCAGTATCAGTTCTGTTTGTAAGCATCATCGAGACAATATTGAGCTCGATTTCGATGCGAACTGTACCCATTTTTAGTGTTCTACTGTAGGCTTGTATCCCGAGTGCTCATATGAGACTGGTCATCAGGCTTTACTAGAGCTTTTATGTTTTCTTTTCCTGCACAGGCACCCATTAGGGGCATCCTTTCGATGCAGAGAGCAGCCAGATTGGCTCATCATCAAGCTAACAGGCTCCCTCTAGCCTTGAGATCTTTCAGCACACAAGCTGCAAGCAATGCCAGCACACCGCAGCCACCTTCACCTCCGCCGCCACCACCTCCCGAGAAGACCCATTTTGGTGGCATGAGTGATGAGGATCGCATCTTCACCAACTTGTATGGACTCCATGACCCATTCCTCAAAGGTGCAATGAAAAGAGGTGACTGGTACAGAACCAAGGACTTGGTCCTGAAGGGCACCGATTGGATAGTCAACGAAGTCAAGAAATCCGGCCTCCGAGGTCGTGGTGGGGCTGGTTTCCCCTCAGGACTCAAATGGTCATTCATGCCCAAAGTCTCTGACGGACGCCCTTCCTATCTGGTAGTCAATGCCGATGAAAGTGAACCGGGAACTTGCAAGGACAGAGAAATCATGCGTCATGATCCCCACAAGTTGCTTGAGGGCTGCTTGATTGCTGGTGTAGGAATGAGAGCCCGTGCTGCATACATCTACATCAGGGGTGAATACGTAAACGAGCGTAACAACCTGGAAATTGCAAGGAAAGAAGCCTATGCTGCTGGACTCCTCGGCAAAAATGCCTGTGGAACAGGTTACGACTTCGATGTCCATATCCACTATGGGGCTGGTGCTTACATTTGTGGAGAAGAAACTGCTCTTCTAGAAAGCCTCGAGGGGAAGCAAGGAAAGCCAAGGTTGAAGCCGCCTTTCCCTGCCAATGCAGGACTCTACGGATGCCCTACTACAGTGACAAATGTAGAGACAATCGCTGTCTCTCCCACTATTCTGCGACGTGGGCCTGAGTGGTTTGCTAGTTTCGGAAGGAAGAACAACTCGGGAACAAAGCTGTTCTGTGTCTCGGGCCACGTTAACAAGCCCTGCACAGTTGAAGAAGAGATGAGTATACCCTTGAAGGAGCTCATCGAACGACACTGTGGTGGGGTCCGTGGTGGATGGGACAACTTGCTTGCTGTTATCCCGGGTGGGTCTTCTGTCCCGTTGTTGCCGAAGCACATATGTGATGACGTGTTGATGGATTATGATGCGTTGAAGGCTGTGACATCGGGGTTAGGAACGGCAGCTGTGATAGTGATGGATAAGTCTACCGATGTCGTTGATGCGATTGCTAGGCTGTCGTACTTCTACAAGCACGAGAGCTGTGGGCAGTGTACTCCATGTAGGGAAGGGACAGGGTGGCTATGGATGATTATGGAGAGGATGAAAGTTGGAGATGCGAAATTGGAAGAGATCGATATGCTTCAGGAGGTGACGAAGCAGATTGAAGGGCATACTATCTGTGCTCTTGGTGATGCTGCTGCTTGGCCTGTGCAAGGACTAATTAGACATTTCAGGCCAGAGCTGGAAAGGAGGATCAGGGAGCGTGCTGATAGAGAGTTGCTGCAGGCTACTGCTTAAAGTTCTGATCAAGGTTTGCGCCTGCATCTCTACTTTGTTCCAAATGTCCTCTTTTACTTATCCGATGGTAGGGTCTCCATTAGGAATATAGACTGTCCATTGCATACCAGCACCTGTCGGATTTTACTCTTATCCATACCCACTTTAATGTTCAGGGTTTAAGTTAAATCTATACCCGTTTGTAGTTCATCAGTATTAGGGCATCTCAAATTAAGATTTAAGACATGTAATCGAATTAGAATAATCAAAATGATAGAGTAAGATAATTGAATCGTCTGATTTCAAATGTCTAGTGTATATACGAAATGTTGAATTAGAGTACTAAAAGAAAGGTGGGATGTAAAAAGGTTGTGTATAGGTCATGTATCCTGTATCGATACCACATAACCAGGCGGGTTCTGGTTGGGTGCAGACAAATTCTTGGCGGCCTGCTAGGCTACTACCATAATATATATTCGTGTTTGGGTTGTATCTCAACCCACTGTGTATCCCTCCAGTTTGAATGTAGTCAGATTGGGACGGTGAATGTGAATATTTCTTTCATCCCTCCCTGGTCATAATCCGAGTCATGGTACATTGTCGTTCATATCATCAATCTAAGCTGCTTCTGTTCTGCAGGGAAGTTTGCTTGCGAGGGGGAGTTGATGATCGTTGAATAAATATCGTACCAACTACAACAAGAATATTTTTCAGGTGGTGTATTGTCGACTGCGGGAGCAGGCAGTCGTTTAGTTGTAGTATTTTTTTCTGGATTTGAAAGCAACTGTACGAATTATGAGTGATTTCACAGTCCTGAGGGAGACTTTGCACATTATTTGTATGCTGAAGGGGGGATATATCTTGTTAGTTCTTTTGGAAGGATTCCTTGAAAGTTTGACGTTGTTAATAAGATGTGCAATGTTACTATTTACACCCAGAGGCTTGCGTTACTTGGTTTCTCTGAATCTGAAGGTGGGGTTCAGTCGTGATCTGGGTTTTGGCTGGGACGTGATGTTCACGTCCCAATCAAATCCGTTTACCATTTCTGTTTTCCTATCATAACGCCTACTGGCTACAGGCAATGTGCTCAGAAACTGAGTATGCGATAATGCTTATGGGCAGGTGGATAATGATTTGGTTTGCAGTAGCTTGAATTTGATTAACATGACTCATCTGAACTGAGCGTAAATGAATTGATTTGTATTCTAAAATTTTGACTATTTGGTCCAGTTCTAGACCGTGTCGAGCAATGTCAACATTTTTACACAAGAATGTGATAGTTCGATTCGGTCTGATCTTCATCAAATAAGAAAGGATGGAAATCAGAACAAGAATCACATTTCTCCGTCGAGTCTGATGTGCTTTCGACTTGTCATCTCAGTTCCTTACTTTTAAAAGACATGTGAAATAAAATCACAACGAGAAAAACATATTCACAATATGCCAAAAGTGTAATGTTTGCCTCTAAAATCTCTGTGGTTCATCAATCATGGCATCCACTTGAATCGTTGTCCACTTCTACAGTTCTACTTACTCAATAGGAACACTATTATACATGGTAGGAGTTTATTCTTTCATGTTCCGTTGCACCGACGTTGGGTTTTGGTTCATATGATTCCACGATGTAATTTTTGTGGCTGAGAATGGAAGATCAATTGGGGAAAGCAACCCAAGGAATGAGAATGTTTAATTCATGCCTATGCCATAATAATTGGCCGATGTTGTTTGTGCTCCACAATACATTTACCAAAAAGGGCGGCTGTGGGCTGTGGCGGCATTAGAATATTAATTAACTTTGTCAATCAACAGTGATATTACTCTTTCTTTCCCCTCTATCCTTTATTTGGTAGATTTGCATTTATTTGGTAGATTTGTAGTCCAAATGTCTTGTAATGTTGATAGGTATGTGATTCATTGATTGGTTTAGTCATATAAACACATAAACAGCTTAATTGTGTTATAATGACAAGACGTACACGAGTACGAACTCTTAGTACCGAGTCCAAATTGTACAATAAGTTGGATTTGCACTCCAAATATCTCAATATGGGGCGGGATACGGTGACAACCCCTAAAGGGGCTGTCAGATTGACAACCAATGGTATTTTGGATATGAAAAAAGGAATATATTAATTATCTTTTTTGTATTAATTATATTGGGAATTAAAAACTCATATTAAATACAATTTTTTTTTGAAATTTAAATCCTATACATTAATATCTCTATCTATCTCTCTCTCTTCCTTTCTCCAACGGTCACTCCGCATCGACGGACAAACTTTTTCTCCGACGAATTCTCTCCGGCAGACTCCCTCCGGCAACCTGAAAAAAATGTACCAGTGCGTTAAAAAGTGTACCAGTTCATTAGTCTACTGGTAATTAATATACCAGTGCATTAAAAAATGTACCAGTGCTAGTGGTACGCTACCAACACAGCGCTACCACTACCATATTGTATCGTACCACTAGCAATGGTAGTGCCACCAGTGCTAGTGGTACGCTACCAATGCTAATGATAGCGCACCACTAGCACTGGTAGCGTACCACTAGCATTGGTAGCGGTACCAGTAGAGAATAAAAATAATAAAAAGATGGTAGTGATACCAGATGATAGTGATACGCTACTACTACCAGCTACCTGATGGTAGTGGTAGGTACCACTATCACTGGTACGCTACCAGAAGAAAAATGGTACCACTAAAAAACCAGATCTAGAAAAGGGGAGTTGGTGACGGGAGAGAGAGGCAGAGGGGAGAGGGTGACCTCGCAACGACGGCAGTGGTGGGAGACGAAGGGTGACGAGTGGGCTCCGATGGGGAGAGGATGATTGTGTCGCGGTGGTGGGAGGTGGACGTTTCGACGGGCCGGCGGGAGAGAGTTGCAACAACAGGGGGTGGAGGGAGGCCGAGGATGGCGGAGACGGCGGCAGTAGAGGGCTCGGCAGGAGGCTGCAGGAGACAAGGGTGCCGACGCCGATAGTGGAGGGCTCTGCGACGGTGATAGATGCGGGAGAGAGGAAGGAGAGAGAGAGGGAGAATGGAGGAGTTAGGGTTTTTTTCTATTTATATGGTAGGGTGAATGATTGGGTGTGGTAAATTTTTTCCCTTCCAAAAATACTCTTTCTTTAATCTTAACCGTTAATTTGAAAAACGAAGAAAGAGACAGAAGAGAAAGCATATCCAAGGGCTATAAAGTGAGTTGTGAATCTGATGACCCCTTAAGGGGTTGTCACTGTATCCCGCACCTTTAATATAGGTAAAAACACAATCGTCCAAGACTATCAATAAAAATTATCGACCAAAAATGAAATTCCTGAATTTACAAATATGTGAGTTCAATTTCATATCAGAATAAGATAAACGCTGGTATCAAATTGGAAAACGAGAAAGAAAAAAAGAGTTATAAAAATTTAGGATGAAATTACATATGATTCAATGTGTAGGGCGACTGGGCGAGTGATTCAACTAGGTTTGAGTCAAGTCATGGATGAAAGATAGATTTTTTGGTCATCCATAGTGAAAATACATATAATTTTATCATAACCAACTAGTTCTAATAACTTAAATTGTTGAAATAGATGAAACAAATTCGATATGCTCGAACCCATTTTGATTCGATTTGAATCGTACAATGACTTCTTATAATTCTTATGGAACCCAACCGAAGCAGAATCGAATCAAGAAGGTGAAATATTCTTAATTTTAAAATCAACGCCAGACTAAACAAAACATCGATTCATTAGTGAGTCGATTTCGTCCCATTTTGTGAACCACTCCTAATCAGTAAGATCCTAACCCACCCACCAATATACAATTGACAACAACAATACTTATAAATTGAAATAATTATCCTTTTGTTTTGGTTGGCTCTGATCATTGAATTATTAATTCGCAATTATCACCAGCTTCAATATGATATTGGTCATTAATTATGCTTATCGTAATTGGCTTTGGCGAGGGGCAGTAGCCATCAAAAGACATCCTACTCCACCGACCAACCATCTCACGCCACGTCACTCCTCCTCCCTCTCTCGTCTTGTTTTAGCGGCGGCCGAGCGAACGAATTCCTATCTCAATTCATTTCTTCTTGGTTCTCCTCCCCCAAAAATCCCTTCCTCTGCCTTCTTACTCTGCCAAAATCCCTCGATGCCGAGAGGCCTCTCTTTCAGCCTGTCCGACGGGGAGGATTGCGGCGGCTGCTTCTCCCCCTCCTCCGCCGACAGCGGCGGCGGTTGGGGAAGCTGGGGGTCGAGGCTGATCAGGAGAAGCCCGAAGAAATCCTCACCGCCGTCTATGCGGACGCTGGATCTCGGCCGGAGACCCGGCGGCGGGTCGTCGAGTGAAATCGTGGGGGATGTGTTCTACGGGACGGATGACGCGGAAGGGATAGAGGATTACAAGTACAAAGAAGACCTGCTGGAGCATTACAGGAGGGAGAGCGAGAGGAAATCGGTGAGGAGGAGGAGGAGGGAGAGGGAGATGAGGCGGAGCTGGTTCGGCGCCATTGTTGACTGCTTCTCGTTCCTCAAGTTCTTCTGCTGCTTGCGGTGATGAAAGATGCCCGATCGAGAGGGGTTGAGAGAAAGCTTTGGTTGAAGAAAGGGAATTGATTGATTGTTGAAAATTCAGAATCAAAATATCCCTTTTTTTTCTCACAAAAAAGAATGTTGTTTGGTTGTTGTTTGTTTGTGTATATATCGTCGCTAATAATGGGATGGGATGGTGGGGATGGTTTTCACAAGTGTTGAATTGATAGGAGCCGTTAGTTTCTCTGTAATTTTGGTTCTCATAATACAAGTTGTCAGTAAGTTTGGACTTCATTAGTGAGCTATTACATACTTGTTCGAGCGCGATTACTTTTTAATAACACGATTTAGGTTAGAGAAACTGTTGTATATGAGGCCTGAAATGATTGATTTAATAAGTCGAACTGAATTTACAAGATCAAGTGAATGATGTGATAGATCACTTTCGAAATTGGTCATTTTGTTGTAGTATATTCAATCGGTAAACTATTATACACCGCATAAGAATGACTACTTTTTTATAACTCGATTTGAGTCGCAATTGTGTGATATTATTAATCAACTAAAATGTTTGTTGCAATAATTCAAGTGAGATTTATAAATTTCAATGAAGAAAATTATAAAACGTTTAGCTTGATAACTCGAGTTAACTTGAGAGACTCATTTATGTGGACTATAATCAGGAGGGTTGCAAAATGAAAGGCAATCTACGCCACTCAAAACACCTTCCTTGTAGCTTTGGATATGTTGTATCTATAGATTGTGCAAATCATATAATCATTAAAGTCATTTGGTACTGAAATGTGCCCCACATTAGAAAAAAGTCTTTTTTTTTTTTAATGTTTTGATCGAATTTGAATCAATGTTAAACCGAACTTCTATAAGCCAACATGAACTCGGATTTAGAGGCAAGCAGCACTCTTTTTTGAAGAAAGACATATCAGAAGCATAGATGAGTATGGAAAACCTCTATATCACTTTTCAAAGTTATTTCCCACTAACACTTTCACTATGGGTAATTGTTCTGATGAGATTGGTTACAAGTTCAAAATCGAAACGGTTCATCCTCCAAGGTTCAAAAGAATCTATCTATGTATGGGAGTATCCAATGGTACAGCAAGTAACAGGAAACTTGCATTGCAAGGAATTGGCACCCGAGAAGGATTGAACTCGTCAGAACAAAAGTTGAAACTTTTGAATTTAAACTATGATTTGCTTCCTCATTTACCTTGCTGGGATTCTGAAAGATCTTTACTTTGCATCTCCAGCAGCTTCTGCTCTTCTTCTTCTCCTCCTCCTCCTCCTCCCTCGGTTTCTCTCGCTGTTACTTCTGCAACAGGCTTAGGCTTCTTGCTAGTGGACTGCTGATACAGAATCCCACCCACCATACAAATCAGCAGCCCTATAGTTCCGACGAACGTAGCATGATTATCCCATATAACCAGATTAATTACCACCGTCAGTAGCTTGTTCACCACGCCAAGGACTGTATACCCAGTAGCAGAAATCGCTCTCCGACAGGAGAACCCAAAGAAGGAGATGGCCAAACCGAAAAGACAAGACAGCCCCACTGGCAAAACGACCTCAAAAGAGTACCAATCAGTCTCCTCGGTGATCTCGTGCTTAATCTTCTTCAGCTCGCCCATTATCAGCAACTCGAGAGGGAAGAGCAGTAACGCCTCGAGATTGTTGTACAACACAAGCCCCCATGTGTTCAACCCAATGGTCATGACCACATGCTTTATATACACGAAGTCGACCGTCATGCTGATCAAGTAAGCCAAAGCCCAGCTGTAGGCAGTGAGGGTGAACTGGTAATCTGTCAGGACATAGAGGACGCTACCACCAAAGATTGTGGCTAAAGAGAGCCAGGTTTTGAGAGCTGGCCATGGCTGGCGGAGGAAGAATGACTCGCCTATGGCGACAAAGATGGGAACCACAGAGCGGAATACGATGAAGGTGTCAACATTGGCATGGAGCAAGAGCTCGCTGTTGGTGAAGAGGGAGAGGTAGAACATGATTGCTGCTGGCAGGAACTTCCACATGGTCAGGAGGTTGAGCTTGTCATGTTCTAGAAGGTTGAAGGAGCCGAACAGTAAGACGCCTGCTGCACTTGTGAAGTACTGGAGAGCGGTTAATGCTCCTGGATAAGGGAATTTCATGATGGCCCATTTGTTGATGATGGAGAGTAAGGATGCTGAGATGCAGTAGCCTGCTGCTACGCCGTAGACAGATGTCTTCTCCAGTAAGTAACTTGACCAGGTGGATTTAACTCCATTGGATTTTGGGGAGCCTACTGGTGCTTTAGGATTCTCCACATCACCAGGCATCTGAAAAGAGCAGAAGTTGTAAGAAACGTTGTTTATCTTAGTGAAGTTGTCTAATTACATTCCAATTGAATCCAGATTCCAGAACAAACCCACTAAGTAATAAGAGATCCGAGCACTATTTGTCAAGAACAGTTGATCCCAATAACTCGAGTTGTTGGGAGTAGGTTATGCTAGATCTTATACCACTCTCTAACACGCTCTCTCAAACGAAAGCCAACTCACGGGCTTGAAGTTTGCACAGGCCCACCATACCTTGTGCCATGTCAAGAACCAGTTGATCCCAATAACTCGAGTTATTGGGACCAACTGGTTTATGACACTATTATTACTTCATGGAGCTCAAAGCCTCTCCGAAAACCATAAACTAAACTCGGGCATTCATTGCAGCATAAACTTGGCATTTGCTACAACCCTAATAAAACCCTTAAAACCTAATCTGCTATCTCAAAACTCCAGAAATCCTTCAAGCATACACTATATACGAACTCTCTGCCTGCTCGATATGACGAAAGACAACGAAGGCATACATCTAAATGCCAGATCCTAAATTCAGATGCCAGCATAAATTCACATAAGTTATCAGAGATCAGAGGACCACTGCTGCTCCATGGAACTCAACCTATACAAATCGGAAACAGTCTCCTCCGAAAGAAAATTCACAATTGAGTAAGAACGCAGCAAACACTGGGCCTTTGCTACAACTCTAAAAAACCTAACCTAACTTTCTCTCAAAACTCCAGATCCTTGACCTGAAATTCGCATTGTCACCAGAGTATCAAGCAAGTAAAAGGCCAGTGTGCAAGACAACAACTACAGGGCAAAAAATCTCAAACGTGAGCAAACAAAATTAAGCACAACCAGTTGGCAATCCTCGAGCAGCATTATATCTCCAAATAGAGTATATCATATCAACAAGATTGAATACAACAGCAAACAGCACAAAATGGCCACAGCTTGGCGAGGTGCTTTCGAGCAATTGCCAATTGAGAAATTCCACAGCCTAACCAAAGCGACAGCGGAAAAGGAAAATGAGAACTGTAGCTCGTTCGGTTTAGTCATACGACATTTTCGTTTTCCCGGGAATCAAACAGGCAGAATATACAGGAGAAAAAGCCGGAAAAGAAAAACGAGAGAAGCTTGGATACCTTCGGATCACGCCGAAACGGAGCCCGAGCGAGCGGAAATGGAGGGGACGAGGGAAAGAGAGAGAGAGAGAGAGAGAGAGATGCAGGGGAGCAAGGGAATTGGGATGGCCGGCAAGCGAGGCTTGACGGAGATTCTTTTATGGAGCGAAGAGAAGGAAGGAAGGAAATGAATGAGAGTTTTTTAAATCGAGCGCTCTCTCCGCGGAGGAAAGCACAGAGCTGTCAGCTGTGTGCGCCGGGCGCCGGCCTTTTGGGTTTTATGAGGTTTTGAGTGTTAAGACAAAAAAGGTGAACGGAAATTTATAGTTTTAGTCCCCCCAATTTTTAATTGAAGTAAATGCTGGGTTTTGTTTTGTCTATTAATTACTTTCCATTTTGTGGATGATTATTATGGGATTTTCATTTTCCCCTATGGCAGTCAAATATTCAATTAGCTACCAAATATTAATCCCCCATTTAATTTATTCAATGGCAGCCAGGCTAATTACCCCATTTGCATACAGGTATAGAATCTGTATACTTATCTTTTGTGGTTTAATAATAAGATTTTCATTCCGGTACTAAAATGTATAGTAGCAGACAATGCTTATACAAAACATGTTCGATACACGTATTTCTATTATGTGAATTGAAATTTTAATAACAGCTAGAAATTTATTGATTTATCAATTATTGATTTCATGTGATTATATAAATGGTACCAATCCTTTTAATGCATGGTTAATTTTGAAAAATAGCTTATTTTAACATTTGTATATACTATAAATCGATTAAACTGTTCATATTATACATATGAGAACCTCTCTTACCCGTATAGGACGACTCGGAAATGGCGGCAAACCAGAAATCCATAAACGTTTCCCCTTTGGACTACCCATGACAACCCTCGATTTCCTCATGAACCTTGGGGACACTTTTACTGGCCTGCTATTTTGATTAGGAGTTGTATGTATGTACTTAATTGTAATTAGTTACAAAGAGAGATGGTTTTGGGGGGCGTATATTATATATAATGATACTAACTAGTGTAAGGAAGTAGTAATGTGGGTGTGTTAGGAAGGATACTTCAACCAAGTAATTAATTCAGGTGAAATTGAACCCATAAGAAAGTGATCACACCTAGCTTTCGAAAGCACAACCCAATAATACTATTGAATAGGGTTTAGACTTTAGAGAGAATGAAGCACGCATTGAGTCGAGGTGAAATAGATACATTACCCAAACTTAGATGAAAAAGAAAGTTTAATAATGGGTTGGTGTAAACATGTTCTCATGGACAAGTTCACAATACATATACGAAGCTTTGTTATAACTAAGACAAAATGTATTTTTCGTGGTGGAGTTACGTGTAATTCACGATGAACATCTCCCTCACAATATTTGATGTGGATCATAATGTTAAAACAAATATTGAAATACTGATAAGTGGTAGGGTGTCATACCTCTTTGCGAAGAATCTAGTTAGATTCCAAGAAGTTTTCATGATTGATCTCTAGTCCTCCATCATTCTAAGTGTTGGTTTTGCCATTGTGGATAGGATTGTTTATCTGGTTTAAGTTTTCCGTGAAAATTCTCATTCAACTTTTTTTTTGGATGATGTAAAAATATCTGAGGCCTCTCATCGAAAAAGTGGTATTTGTTTGGAATTCTCCCTTTTGCTTTCAATTCAATTCTCATTATACTTTAGATTTTTTATGTGGTATTAATGAATAAAAAGTAAAATTATACGTAACATGCTAGTCCTCTGCTTGTGCTTGTTGGATATTAAAAATGACTCTACCTCAATTGTAAGGATTTGGACAATTCGTTTGTGAGAGGACTAAAACTGGACAAATAATATAGGTACAACTTTACAAGAACATGCTTGTGAAAATTATATGAAATTGAATATTCAGACCAATGACTAAAAACAAGTGATAATAGTTAGGCTATAACATGGTTTATATGTTTATATTGTAGAGTGAAATGAAAGGGTCAAATTAGGTCACTACATTTTGAAGCCACAAAAAAAAAAAAAAAAAAACAAAATCTGTCAATGCATACATGCATGGCCTGCTAATTACTTAAAAGTTAAGTAACGAAATTGTTAGTAGTCAAAACTTTTGTCACTCCCAAAGTTTGATGAGTGTTATGTAAATGAGAGTAGAGCGAAATGTGGATCTTGGTGAGCTGGCTGGATACAGAACCCGCAAGTGGACCTAATGGGCCCATGCTCATAGATCACATCACAATGTGAACTGGGCCATAATGGGCTATGTCCATAGATAATTGAATGTTTGTACCTAAATGGTTTTGAATGACGTGGGTTTTGTGCAGGCCCAATAAATCGCACTCCATGAGCCGAATGGAGAAAGCCCATCTCAACGGGGTGCACACCAGAAAACTTTCTATCACGTGGTTCCAAGGTTGTCAATTCGCGGGTTGACCCCCACTTTGACCCTGACCCAGTGGTACAAACCGGCCACACATGTCAGTCGGGTCTACTCGTTGCAAGGTTATCGGGTTAGAAGTTACACGACATTGTTTTTTAGTTTGCTTTGCGAAATGCGTCTCTTTTCTGGTTTTCCTCTTCTCCTAATCCTATCTTTGAACTCTAAGTTGAACATTTGAATATTAATGTTATATAAGTGTATGATGATTTTCACAATATGTGGAATCCAAGTATGATATGTTATTTTGGTGTAATGTTATATATTATTACTTATATGTTAGATGAGATTTGACATAATTTATAAATGGATGAACAATATAATAATTTTTTCATATATCCGAACTAAACCAGGCTAAAGTAGTTGGCCCATTAGCCGTCAACCCACTTTCTCAACTGAACCAACGAACTAAACCGGGTTGACAACCTCACTGGGCTCTGAACTCTTAATCATTTTATGAGAAGTTTCAAGTTTGATAAATAAAATAAGGGCAATGTCTATTTTTTACCCAAACCTTTATTAGATTCTTTTATTTTAACCAAACCTATAGAAATTCTATTTATTATCCAAACGTATTATAATTTATCAAAGTCTGGGCATTCATTTTGTTACCGTTACTTATTTCGTCAACGTGAGAGGTGGGATTTTGTTTTGTTTTTTGATAATATTTTTATTAAAAATAGTAAATGATGGTATTTTGACCGCCACGTAGGAAGTCAACTCATTATGGTCATACTTAGTCAGCATTACTAACAGAAAAGTTGACGGAGAGTTAACGTTTGGATAATTTTTAGGAATTCAATAGGTTTGGTTAAAATAAAAGAATCTGAAAAAGGTTTGGGTAAAAAATAGACATTGCCCATAAAATAAAAACAAGAAGTTTCTAATTTGATATTCAAAATCTAAAATTGTGAATTTTTTTTTCCTGATGGAATTAGATCAAGCTACCCCTCAGATCCCAACCTCACCCCTCCCCCTTGAGCACTGCAGTCTGCAGATCTTGCAAAAAGGTTTCAAGCAAATTATATTTTTTTTAATATGAATAATGATAAATTATATTAAAATCTGGGTAAAAAATAAAACAAGTCATTGACATCTCCAAGAGTAACATGGTCCCAGACATTATCACTATTGATTAGCCAAAGGTTAGTCGTCTAACTAATACAATAATATTTGGCACTATTAATCAACACTAGGAAAGAGACTCTCAAGTATCACATCCAAATTCTCACATTTTGGACATTTCAGCACTATACATAATTAGCTCACATAAAATGAATGCACACATCTTGAAAACAAAAGTCACATAATTAAAATATAAAATTTTATTAGATTGAATCAGTGATCTCACTTAAACTTTTGTTTAAGAGAACTAATTCATGTTCAATTTTTTTTTTTATGGTTTATTCATGTTCAATTTCTATTGTTTGTTTAACCAACTTTCTAAGATAAAATTCGTCAATAACCTTAATTCTGTAACCTGACTAATATCTTCATCTTGAATATAATCATACGCAGAATATAATGTTGCTTTAAAAGATTAATAATGCCGTAATTATTATTTTTAACTTGAATTTTTTTTGTTTGTAAACTCTTATTGTTTGTTATCTTCCTTTTGTGGTTCACTCCCTATTTTGGGAAAAGAAGAAACAAATTTAGATTTTATGCGTTCATTTCATTCGGTACAAAACAGAAATACCAAATTCTTGAAAGAAGAAGGGAAGATAAAATAAAATAAAATGATTGTCATATAACAACGCGGTGTGATTGGATAGAGAGAAATCGTCACCCTATTTCTGAGCTGAGACCTTGCTTTGCCTCTCCTCCGGTTTCCCATGCCGTATATATATTCATTCAAGAGCAAAGTTCCCAACTTTTCATACGAATTTGACTCGTTAACCGAAGCAGAAAAGGAAGGCTCAACCAGTAAACAAAATTTCTCATTCGCTTCATCTTTCATCTCAATTTCCTTCCCATCACAAATCCCACCGCCAAAGTAAGCCAAAGATGCTCCCTTTTCCGCCCACATTCCCATAAACCATTCTTCCTCCGTTTCCCAACTGCTGAAGCTCAGCTGATTTGGATTCCATCTTCCAAAACCAGCTAAAGAACTTCAAATCCATCGCTTTTCAGGTAAACCCACTTCAGGAAACGATCATTTTGAACCAATTGAGCTTTGTGGAAACATTTGTTTAACCTGCATGGCGATTGTCTCGATTCAAGAACAAAAGCTTCTACCTTCGTCTCGTTCTTCTCATTTTTCATTCTGGTTTGATATGATTCTGCCTGTGGGTTGGTGTAACTCTGGATCTTGCTTTGCTGCTTTGAATCATTAACTTTTCTTCGTTCTACTGTTTCTCTCCTGCTGGAGAAAGTCCCGTGAAGTGGAATTTGTCTGTTTCTGCAATTTTCTTTCCCCCTTGTCAGATTCTCTAGAAACTGCTCCCATTTTCAGCAGTTAAATGCCCTCCATTCATTGATCCATCTGATATGTTGACAAATAGGACTCAATTCTAATCATCATCATCATTCATTGATCATCTCCTTCCATTCTTCTTTAGTAAGGTTCTTGGACTCGCCTCTCTTTTCCATTTCTTTGACTTTCTCTTCTTCCTTCCTCAAAATTGGTGGATTACTAGAATTTTTTTGGCCTTGACCACTCAATGCAATTGTTCAGTGTGATAAATCAGTACGAGGGCTGCGTTTGCTTTTACTTCGTTCTGTAATTTTGTCAAAGAAATGCAATGCTTGAGGAAAGTGGGCATCTAGAAGTACAACTTTGTGTTTGGCAAAATAAATAGCCTACCCACGTTCTGTCCATGTTCTTTGCTTCCTTCATCCTGCCCCACGTCTCAACAGTTGTAATTAACCCATTTGCTTCCTTTTGTTAATTGAGATTGATTTTCATTTGATCTCAACAGGGTTGAATCTAGATTTGTCATCTAAATCTGATTAGTTACTCGTTTTCGTATAGATTGCGGAGGTTGGCAATTCAGCATCGTGGATTCAGGTGATCAAGAGAAATGGTTCTGGGGCTAAGATCAAAGAACAAGAAAGCCAATACGATCCAAGTTGATTACTTGGTCCAAGTTCAAGAGATCAGTCCATGGCCACCATCACATTCTGTTAAACCCTCAACCTCACTGGTTCTCCAATGGGAAAATGGTGATCAAAGTTATGGAACATTGGCTTGTGTCATTGCTGAGGGGAAGCTAGAATTCATTGACTCCTTCAGGCTTCTCATTACACTGACCAAGGAAGCATCCAGGAAAGGCAATGACCGTGAGAGTTATGCAAAAAACTTGTTAGAGTTCTACTTGTTTGAGCCAAAAAATCAGAAGTCAAACAAAGGTCAACTCTTGGGTTCAGCAGTTGTGAACCTTGCAGATTATGGAATTATTAGAGATGGCATCACCATAAGTGCTCCATTGAACTTGAAGAAGAGCTCTAAGGGTGCCCTCCAACCGATAGTTTACTTCATAGTTCAGGCGTTTGAGAAGGGTGACGATGACACCAGCAGCAGCTTGTCGAAAGAAGTGTCGATGGAGAAGGGGGGAAGTGAGTCTGTTTCGGAGGTCACGAATGAGGAGGAGATTGCTTCGTTTACTGACGATGATGCTGATGATGGTGATGTCTCTTCTGTTGTGGTGTCTAGTAGAGGTTCACCTAGTTATTCCGAAAAGGTACATTTTTTTTTCTACCATTCAGTCGTCTTTCGTACTGGTACATTTTCTTAATCCATCTTTTGTTTTTTCTTTATTGAGAAGAATATTTGAAATTGAGTCAAATACAACTGTCTTTTCATCAGGGTTCATATAAAAGCTATTTGTGTTGTTAACTCATTGCCTCTTAAAATTACAGAATGGAACAGCATCTGCAATCAGTAGTACAGCGAGACCAAAGGAGAATGCTGTTCTTCCTTCCTTGGGCATAACAGCCGTTCCAGTAAATTCAGCAGGTAGTGTTTGTAAACGTGCGAAGTAGCTTACTATCCTCCATATGGAATGAAAATTTTGTATCTTTTTGTCTAAACTGCGTAATCATCATTCGTCCCTGATAATCTTTGTTTCAGAAGATTATCCAGTTCTGGTTGAAAAGGCTTCCAACCATGCTAGCATTCATAAATATCTAAGCAGCCAAGAATCGAAAGAGCTGAAACACAAAAGTGGCTTAGAGGAGGCTAAAGTTTCCAATTTACCTGCTGATCATTTTCTAAACACAGATGGGAACGACCTGAAGGCAAATGCTCAGGATATTGCGGTTTTGGCGACCAAAACATCATATACTGTTGAAGAGAAACTTGCTGGTGAAGTAAGTCGAGATGATACGAGAATCCAGGTTCCATTGAGAAGTAACACTATTGCTTCCAATAGTCATGCAGTCGGAGTTCAGGGGAACACTCGGCGAGATAAGTTGAAGCAATTGAAATCTATTCAGTTGCAGTATGCTGCTTCTGAAGGTCACAGGCCCTCTAGCAATGGCCAATCTACAGAGAGAATGAAGAAGCGTGAAGTTACTGAAAGAACTAGTGGTAGAGCTGGAATGATCAATGATCAAGGTGAAAGAGAAGAAAAACCAAAGAGCTCTATAGAAAGCAATGTCAAATCAAGATCTGAAGGTGAAATGTTAAATAAGGATGAGCCAAGCAAACTTGTTACCAAGAATGAGAACTCTGCTGTCAAGGTCCCTCCTGTGCAGAAGCCGAAGAGGGTTGAAGTTGTTTCAAAAATTTCTAAAAAAGTAGGAGCAAATGGCTCGCCAAATGGTAGAGAAATAAACAAAGTTGAGATGCTTGAGGAAGAGTTAATGGAGACTGCTGCTCTCGAGATTGGCTTGTATTCGGTAGTGGCTGAGCATGGGAGTTCGGCGAATAAGGTTCATGCTCCAGCAAGGCGCCTCTCCAGGTTCTATCTTCATGCTTGCAAAGCAAGGAATCAGGGTAAGAGGGCAAATGCAGCAAGAGCCATCATTTCTGGCTTGATCTTGGTCTCCAAAGCTTGTGGAAATGATGTCCCCAGGTATGAAACACAGCTAGCCAAGCTAGGGTTAAATATCTACTGGGTCCCATTATGCTAGACCTATTTCACAAATGTGGAACAAACATTTATAAGATGAATAACAGTGCGAACGCTATAAATCCAGGTTAACTTTCTGGCTGTCCAATTCGATCGTCCTGAGAGCAATAGTCAGTCAAGCTGTCGAAAAACTAAACCTGGCACCTAGAACCTCTCCTTCCAAAGAAGCAAAAGCTAATAATGTTTTAGATGAGTGGGAGAATCCTCGAACATTTATCACAGCACTTGAAAAGGTCGAAGCTTGGATCTTCTCCCGCATTGTTGAATCTGTTTGGTGGCAGGTCATCCCCTAATTCTGCAACTGTGCCCTTTAGCCCGAGTTTTTGTGTGTGTATATTTTGCTTGTTCTGAAGTTTGTTTCTTTGTGATTTACTGCAGACCCTCACCCCACATATGCAGTCCACAGCAGTGAAGGGCGCTGGCTCGAAGAAGGCACATGCTCGGAAGCATGGATTAGGCAATCAAGAACAGGGGAACTTTGCCATTGATCTATGGCAGAAGGCGTTCAGAGATGCCTGTGAAAGACTTTGCCCTATTAGAGCTGGCGGCCATGAATGTGGTTGCTTGCCTGTACTTGCTAGATTGGTATGATTTTGCTAGCTAGTTCATTTCTCAGAGAAAAGATGATCAATAAACTCAACACTTAGCTGATATTGTTGTTTATAGGTGATGGAGCAGTTGGTAGCTAGACTAGATGTGGCGATGTTCAACGCTGTTCTTCGCGAATCAGCTGACGAGATGCCTACTGATCCAGTTTCAGACCCCATTAGTGATCCTAAGGTGCTTCCTATACCAGCTGGGAAATCAAGCTTTGGAGCTGGGGCACAACTTAAGAATGCTGTGAGTGAGGAAATTTCTTTTCCAGATTGTTTAAGGATTTAACTCATTTACTTTCAATTGTTTAACAACTGTAACAAAATGTCAACAGGTCGGCAGCTGGTCCAGATGGCTCACAGATTTGTTTGGTATCGACGAAGATGATGAAGTAAAGGATAGTGAAACGCCATTCAAGATTTTTCATCTCCTTAATGCACTGAGCGATCTCATGATGCTCCCATTTGAAATGCTTGGGGACCAATCGACCAGAAAAGAAGTAGCTAAATACCTTTATGCATTATGACTCTCAAGTCTACTTTTCATTTAGTCATTCTTCTTCCCCTGGTTTTAACTTTTGCAGCCTTGTCTGTAGGTCTGCCCTACATTTGGAGGGCCATTGATCAAGCGGGTTCTTAGCAACTTCATCCCAGACGAATTCAACCCGGACCCCATCCCAGATTCCATCCTCAATGCATTGGATTCAGAGGTCAGTCTGTATCTCTATGGCTTGAGCGGTCAATTGGTATTTCTGGGAGTTAAATTAAATGTCTAATTGGTCACTAAATGAAAAATCACGACAAAATGCTAACTAACTGATTTGTATAAAAACCGTCACTCATACATTCCACCCGTTGGTCTTTGATGTTAGGATCCTGGCGAGTCTGGAGATGAATCTCTCACGAGCTTTCCATGCTCAGCGAAATCAACAGTCTATTTGCCGCCTTTGGCAGCTTCACTGACAAACATCATAGGCGAGGTTGGCGGTCAGAGCAGTAGTGCTCTGCAGAGAAGTGGATCATCTTTACTACGAAAATCATACACCAGCGATGATGAGCTCGAGGAGCTGGATTCGCCCATGAATTCCATCATCATTGACAAGCTCTCAGCCTCTTCTTCTCCCTCGGGTTCAACGGGAAAGGGTGGCCGAAAAGTAGTAAGGTATCAACTCCTAAGAGAAGTATGGAAAGACGGGCAATAGAGAAAAATGTTTCATCCACAAGGCCGGGCAGCTTCCCAGGCATTCCTTTTCCTGAGAGTAGAGGTTTGTATAGTGTTTCCTCCGGTATTCAGCGTGGCTGGATTGCTCTGTCTTTTGATGTTCCTGAGTTGTACAATGCGGACACCATGAATGTTCATACGCTAAATAATATGTAGTTCAGACATTTCTCAATTCTGAGGATGATTAATCAACTAAATTGTTCATTGAAGGACTTGTCTCATGTGATGATTTTGACATAAATCACTAGGGCCGATTCGTCCCAATCCTTTGCTGGTAACATAGATCACGGCATCAATCCTTTGCATCCGACTCTGAACCTTTCTCAGCCATTATAGCTCCCGTACTTTACTATTTAAGCTCCTAAATCATATTTTAACTTTAGTATCTGTATATCTTCAACTAAGTTGAAGTTCGCAGCTCTTGAACAATACGGTTTGTTCATCTCTCCTATTGTTTTCCTTTCATTTTGCGTGTAATATCGAATTGATCTGTACTTTTTTCATATCATATATCAGAATGATTCATTTTGCTCTGACTTGTAATATCGAATTGATCTGTACTTTTTTCATATCATATATCAGAATGATTCATTTTGCTCTGACTTGTACACCAAACAAAATTACCTGATCTGATCATGCAACGCAAGGGGCAACCCAAATTACAAGAGGCAGATATGGGTACCTCATGTTGCCATTCCTAATTACATGTTTAAAACTGAAAGAACAACAATGTAACATCACCAAATTTGGCTGGAACCTTTTGGGTGCTTTTTGGAGTAGCACCATCAAATCATCTTCGTTCGTGTTAATGTATTTACAGATGTTACATGGTTAATTTTCTAGTGATTTCTTCCTTCATCTTCTCTTGAACCTGCAAGCATTGGCAATCAGTTGACGTATTAGGATCACTATAACCGTTGAAGGGTAGGGATAAGGAGAGATCCATTGAAGCTTAGAATCAGGAGATCTCACAGCTTGGATTCTGAAGCAGAAACCGGTGTCTGAAGCGCGTCATAATGGCCATAACCATGATACAGGACCCGTATGGGGTTCTCGTTGCCATGATACTCTTGCCCATATTCGGCTATGATCTTGTGGTTTCCAGGAGCCTTATCCCTCATGTAAACCGTGATTGGCATCCTAGAAAACAGAAAGTGGAGACATTTTTCATGTGATGATCTGGAAAGAACAAGGGAGAGAAGGCTAGAGGGAAGGCTTGAGGTCTAACTTTAGGACATGGGAGGACATAAGAAGCTCAGGTTCTCCTCCCCATACATGAGGCTGTCTCATATGTCCAACGTATGTGTCGAAATCATCCTCGATAAACCTGCAATTGAATTGGACAAAAAACCCCATATTTCTACAAGCTAGCTGAAAGATGCTGCAGTTTTGAACCGAACACGAAGAACATTTCTCAAAGGTATAGCTTTTTACCACTCAGTCTCCTTCCTCCTCTTAATGAATTCATCTGCAACCTGTACAGAAAGGTTTGCCACACACCAGAAATCAACCATTAGAAACAGCAGCGCACAAGATGGAAAGGCTGGAGCCCTAAAGCACGGAACAGCAGATGGCTCTTTACCTTGTCTCTCAGTTCATCAGCAAGTTCTTTCTCGACGGTTTCGCTGGGAGATGGCTTCCCTGATCTAAGGCAAGCACCATGGACAACAGACCGGAACAAGCACCTACCATCTCCAGGAATCCCTGAACCAACGAAGCAGTGATAGACGGCTTTATCAATCTCACGCAGCCCAAATTTGCAGAAAAAGAAAAGAAGAAACAAGAAGGAAAGGAACAACAGGGATGCTAGGATCATGATCAGTATTAGCCTGATGGGGCATGGAATTGTTAAAAGTATAAAAAAAAGAAAACAAACCTAATCCATTATCCATCTTTGAGCAACCCATATGTTTCCTTATTGAGAAACAGAAATGATGAGGACTATCCCCAATGTTCTAATACGCAAAGCTAAGCATAACCCACAAGCAAAGAAAGAATAGAAAGTAAACAAATTTCTCCACAAAAGAAACGTATCCCATTTCTCCTCTCGCCCTTCTTTCAACTTTACGTCCAAAAACAATCAAACAAGCCAAAGAAGATAAGTGGTACTGTGGTAGTAAACCTAACCTGTAGTTCATCTTGAACAACAATATGTTTCTGTTGAATGATTATAAAGATAAGGATCGTCCCAATGCCCTTAAACCAACCAAGACACCCAAACCAAAGTATAACCCACAAGCAAAGGGAAGCAAAACTCCATTTTTGAGATTCAATTTTGATTCTAGAAACAGTCAATCAAGCAAAGGAAAGATAGGAAAAGGCAGCCATTTCAGTAATCTCATTAGACTTCATGTAATGCTTCAGAAGCTCCAAAAACGAACTCGACCCACAAACAATCTTGAGCAATGAACCTACTGAGAAACGAAAAGCTCCATTCTTTCATCCCCAACACAGCAAGTAGGGAATGATAAGAACCATCCCAATCCTTAATCAACCAAATACCCAAAGGGAAGCATAACACACACATGCATAAACGAAGTCGAAATCGAAACAATATTTCACCATCAAAGAAACGTGCTGACTTTCGCAAACAAGCATCAGAGAGATTGAAATGGACAGCAAATTTCAGCAGAAACCCAGAAATCAAGCTTGTCCTGAGTACATATAACACATACTAATGGTGTGAAACTGAACCGAGTGGTTACCGAGCGGGATGGTTTCAGGTTTGTGCATTTTCCGACTGGTTGAGATGGCAAACCAGCCCATTCAATCTAGAACCCCACTTTTCTTTTCTTCTTCTTCCTGCTTTCTTCTTCTTTCTTCCCTTCCCACCCATTTCCTTTTCAATCAAGGATTCCGGCAGTGGACATCTCGAAATTCATCCTTTGATTCGATTCCCAAAAGGACTGATCGAAAGGACAAGGCTCAAATAAATCCATGGAATTGGGCTCCCCTTTGCGGTAAAGCCAAAACAAAGTATTATTGGCCAATGATGCGATTCTGAGAACCGAATTCGATTTCATGGAACCATACAACTTTTTCGGCAAATTCTCTTCTTTTGGGAATCCAACGTCTGACCCTAAAATTATCAATGGTGATAAGGCAAACATGGGTGAAAGAATCGGACACGTGTATAGCCATATTGGCGGGAGATTTTCTGTGCCAAAGGAATAGGCTCCCGCTAAAAATCATGGCTGCCGTTACCTTTTTGGCCTTCAAAACCCCAATTAAAATCTGACGAAAAACCTGAACCTTTCTTTTCTCTCCTCTTTCTGCAAAAAGTTGCGATCTTTTCCATGATTTGAGAAAGAGTTTCAGCTTTTTTTCTTCCAGGGGAAAATGGTTTGTACTGCCCTGGAACCAAACAAGCTTAAACTAATCTAATATTTTCTCTCATCATTGGAAGGAAGAAAGTTCAGCGTTCCTGCAAATTCCTTTTCTTTTCTCTGTTGCCAATTTTCCTGATCTGAAATGGGTTCCAGGCAACGGCCGCTGCAAACTTGTTGGATTTCCCTCCTAGAAATTTCTCGCAAAGCCTACACAACGGCGTCCAGAAACTACAATGGCGGGGATTTGGCGGTCAATTTTGCATCTCCATCAGTAATCTGCGCCTTGCAATGTCAGTTTTTTGCAATTCTGGCATTTTTGGATGACTGGATTTTAAGGATAGAAAGCTTGGCGGAAGCCATTTTCCCGCCATTGAAGCATTTTTTTGACAGGATCGATGAGCTTGTTAAAGTTGCAGAGGCTCTCCCCGAGAAGCTTGATGATACGATCAAAAAGTTTCCGGCTTTGGTTCACCATGTTCCGTTTTTGGATTGGGCATTACTCCATTTTATTTCTTGGCTGAGATTCTTGATAACTGTGATGACTAATTGGGGTATAATGGATGTGAAGGAGAAAGAGATCAATGTTACTGATGTCAATAATCGTCGTAACGATGGATTGACTGACATGAGGAGGAGGAAGAAGAAGAAGAAGACGATGAAGATGAAGATGGATGTTCAAATCAGTACTAGTAAAGAAGGGTCGAATCATAATGACCAGCCATTGACTAGGGAGGAAGTAGTCGCTGGAAAGAAGTTGATTAGCAACGATCCTGACACGATTGAAGGAAAGCCGGAAATTGTCACTGATCACCATGCCGATGTTCAGACAATAATGATTGATGGATTGATGGTCCAACAAGAACCCGATCGTCTCACAATCCTCGCAGGCAATGAAGCGATGATTGTTCATGACAATGATGAAAGGAACAATTGTTCTCGAGGCGTCGATGAAAAGTGCACTAGCATTGATCCAAAAATAGTACAAGAATCGAAAGAAACTACATCAACAGGAAATGAAGAGCTCATGAAAATTGTTCTTCGAGACATTGATGATCAAACATCCGAAGCAGACAGAATGGCGATCCTACAAGAGGTAGGTCATCCAACATTCCCGACAAGCAATGATCAAAAAGTTGTTACGGATATTGATGAAAACAACGATAAGGTGCAAAGAATCAACAAGACGTTGACTAGCAATTATCCCAAAACAACTGAAGGAGCAGAGCAACAACATATATTAACAAGCAATGAACATCTGGAAATTACAGCTCAAGGCACCACTGGTCAAACATTTACATCAAATGGATTGACGAGCCAAAATGCATATGATAATCAGGCATTACAAACAAGCAATGATGTGACATTAATTCAAAAGAGTAATGGGAACAACAATGTTGTTGAGCACATCGATCAAAGGCCGACTAGTGACAACCTGAAAACACATGAAGGAACAATAGAAGAATGTGGACTAACAGGCGGTGAAAAACAGGAGATTGCAATTCAAGAGAATGATGATCTAACATCTTCATCAAAAGGCTTGAAAATCGGACAAGAGGCGACTAATCATAATTTGACATTCTTGACTACTACTGATCCGACAATTCCTCAAGAAAATGGCGATGAGATGCTTCCCTGTAACGAATCAGATTTTGGCCCATCGATTACAAGAAATGGGCCGGCACTTGTTTCAGAGACCGACGATACAACCATGGATTCAGATTGCAGTCAGATCAAGTTAGATCGCGACATTTGTGCACCTTTTCCAAAGGAACATCTGACTAGTGTGGCAGGAATTCCAGGAACTAGTTGGTCTAATGTAGTAAAAGGAAGTTATAAGGATGTTCTTGAGAAGGGGAAATACGAGAGCTTACAGGAAAGCTATAAGCACAGAGGATTGAGGCAAGACAAGTCGAGAAGACAAGGAAAAAAGGGAGGAAAGGGTACTCAAGAAGAGGGTAGGGAAGGGAAAGGGAGAAGGAAGGGGAAAAGAAAGAAGGTGGGTAACAAAGTTGAGTCATTTTCTGACTATTAGTCTGGGAAGAAAGAATCCATGACCAAAGTTTAGAGAGAGATGCCAAGTGAACTTGTTGGTCATTGGATTTAAAACATTGATGTGTGCCCAATTGACTTTATGTATTAGCTCTATAAATCTTTATATTTCAGTTTGTATTGTAGTTCCACTTTAACCTTAAACATTTGTCAATTGTTCTACTAGAGTAAAATCATGATTAATAATATAGGTTACTGCTACCAAAATTACAATGCAAGTGGATTTGGTAGCAATGGCTACCATGTTGAAGGCGCCTCTCGACAAGAAACATAGGCACAATTAAATTATTCAACTAATTAAAAATTATTATGAAGAAATTCGAGCAACAGAAGGTTATGCATATCTAAGGAATACTCGATTCATATAGGAAGCTCCAACTTTGATTATTTGTATCTTAATGTTTTTATTTGAATATGTCATGATGTTGACAATTTTCAGACTTGCATGATTAATAGTACGAATTACGATAATAGCCGACGTTACGACAATAGCCGACGGAGAAACTTTATTTAAGGATGTCCTCTTACTAAAATTAAATTTTAAATTTTTAAAAAAATATGTTTTCTTAAATATAAAATATATGGCTAGTACAAGTTACAATAAAATACCACAACGTGTTTTCATATTTTGAAAAAAATTGTAAAATACAAGTAGTATCTACAACACTCAAAAAATGACTTCCAATATATCATAACAAGCAATAATTCATGAACTAATCGCTTATTCGATTCTGAATCTTGTTCTTGATGTAGTCCAAAGCTAAAAAAATTCTCTTTCAAACACTTACAGTCTTATAGGTGTAATTAGTGAAATCAATACAAGCTTGGAAAACAAATAAACCATTGATATGATAGATTCACTTTTGTCTTCACCATCAACTAAACTAATTATCAATTATTTTTAACACAAGGAATAACTCATCAATCTAGACACAATGAGAATAATTCTCAAATTGTTGTACAAGAAATGGGTCAGAAAGGAGTAACTTATCAATCTTATTTTTAACACAAGGAATAACTCATTAATCTTGACACAATGACAATAATTCACGAATTGTCGTACAAGAAACGAGTTAGAAAGGAGCGCAAACTCATTGTGATAAAAATGATTTAGCTTCAAGGAGTTGGAAAGCCTGCGGTTGCAGAGGAGGAGTGCAGCTTAGAGGTGGCTAGGAGGGTCGAGCTCGCAAGTCGACGACACGGTGGTCGGTACAGTCGAGCTATACTGCTTAAGGATTGAGCCAAATGTGTCTACGAAGGAGGAGAATGATGGCACTAAAAAGATGCAGACTAAAGGACTAAATAAGCAGAACACGAGTAGTGAGGCTGGCTAACTGCTCACAGATGGACTGGAGGGGGTGTCACACGAACGATTTAAGAAGAGGGAGAGAAGAGTAGTTGACTCTGAAATGTTTTTGCTACTTCTTTTACTTTGCTTCACCAATATCAGAAGGATGAGGAATATAGAATTTACCCACCTTCTTTTTTTGGATTTAATTGGAATTTTTTAGCCTATACTTACCTTTATATATTTTAAAAATAACAACAAATTATTTTTTAGTATAATGTATACATGTTGTCTAATAATTAACGTGTCACGAGTTTGAATAACAAAGACTATTTATCTTTGGGTTCCCCCCCCCCCCACACCAAATTAGTATGATGGATACATGTTGTCTAATAGTTAACTACGCACATTATACCATCTATGCTCAACATGAAATAGAAGTTTCTTTAGGGATTTACATTCGAGTATCAAGCAAAGGAAAGCAAAACAATGAAAAGTAAATTTGTTTAGGGTTTTTTCAAGTTATAAATGCGTAAAAGTAAAGATATGTTATTGAACAAGAAGGCATACTTCGAGTATCATCACATATACTAATGCTTAATCACATCATGCGTCAATGAATCATCTATAGCCTGACTCTATCACTTCCACTAAGGCCATTCTACTCAAGCTTTCGCCACATGTAATAGGAACTTAACTAGCTAATGTGTGCTTTCGCTACATGTCATCACCTAATCAATGAAGAATATAGAAGTGATGATAGCACATGATTAAGTGTGGGCCTCTTGTGCCATAACCGATAGTGTATAGCATCGATGATCTAACAATAAAACATTGATATACTACTCAAGATATAGATGGTTGATGAATCCCTCTATACTCGTGTAGAATCCATGGGGTTTATGATACTAAACACAATGCATATAGTAGCATATGATAGATTCATAAGAATGGATTATAAGGAAGTATTGAACTAAATGAGCATCGAAATATAAAGCATCAATGCATACACATGGGCCATAAAAATCACAAGGATCAACACAACCATAATATGAAATTATAACATCAATACATTGACTCGGGCTCAATTGTACAAATTTACCCATTATTTCTTATCTGTTATGCTTAGTAGATCACCATCCCTCGACCTATTTTATGCTAGGTTGTGCTTGTTTTGTTACATTTCAGGTCCTAGCACGTGTGGGAAGGTCCAAAACGAGTTTCAGGTCATTCGGAGGTCAAACGAGCCAAAAAGTGGAGGTTGAGCCCTATTCACGGGTTGGAGCTTCAGTTCACAGTCTCTAAGACCGTGAACTAAAGACACATAACGTAAAGTGACCAATTTCCAGAATGGTTTTGCAAGTTACTGGCCTCAAGTCAGTTCACGGTCTAAGACCGTGAAGTGGAGCCCTCAACCGTGAACTGGGCCCTATCGGGTTTTTCGAGAGAAATTAGTTTCTTTCTCTAGGGTTTCGACCCAAAACACCAAAGGGGAATTCTAGAGAGAGTGTGTAAGTTCTTGAGTGATCTTGGAGTTTAAATGAAGGCATTGATCAAGCTTGAAAGCAAGGAATCAAGCCTAGAAGAAGAAGATCTTGGGCTCCAATTTGTAATCTCTCTCTTCTCTCTTTAGTAACTCACCCTCTTCTCTTGGTTTTAAGAACCCTAGGTCTAAATTTTGATTGGGCGTTGTTGTATGTGATAAATCCATGTTTGATTGAGTTTATTATCTAAGTTATGGATGGTTTTCATGAATGGCATGAGCTTGGATTCCATTTTCATGTTTTGAACTTTTGACCTAGGAGTGAGAAAATCCCCTTAGAGCCCCTTTCTTGGCATCTTCGGGTCACTCTTCACCCTATATCGTCCGGGAAATCCCCAAGGGAGTCAATTGGATCAAGCTCCAACGATATAGGGTTGCCCTAGGTTGAATAGAGCACCACCCGTCCGTCACTTCACCGTTCCGGGTCCGTCCCGAGGGAGTTCATCTCCTAACGGTAGGATAATGATTCGATCGAGCTAGGGGGATATAGGGGGGATTTAACCCAAGAGAGCTCCCAACCTTGTAAATAGCTAGGTTAGTGGTTAGCTAGGTATGTTAGTTTAATTCTTCTAATCACCATCCTAGGTTGGCTAGGTAACGAACCCTAAACCTGAAGTAGGGTAAGCCTAGACCACCGTGGTACGATAAATTATTATTGTTTGCTTGCCCTGTGCTACACTTGGTCGCCGGTTATACTTGGTCGATGATTGGGATGTATAGGTAGATCGAATCATACATACAAAGATAAACGAATTCACATTCTCATACAATCAATTTTGAACTAGCTATACTTAGAAGAGAAGGAGGGTACCATTATCGATGATGAACGCATCTCCTTATATGCACCCTCTCCTACGAATGCTAAGCTCTCACTCGAACAGAGTGTGCACAAATTTTTTGTCTGGAATTGTGCAGCCTGCTGAACACATGAGTCTAACCCTCTATATATAGTGGTAGAACTCCGCAAAAACCTTCCTAACCCTACTAGGACATTGTTTATTTGACTTGCGGCCGAACCATGGCCTAAAGTTCTATTGTTTGGGCTTGTGCCTTTGAGCGTCGGCTGGGAAGCGGATGACACCAATGCCATTTTTCTTCTTGGGCTGGACTTCTTGTCCTACAAGCAACCTCTCATGAAGATTTCATCGTGTTTTGTGTAGGTTTTCTTGGGCGGCGGTTGGATCCTTTGCTAGGCTGCCGCTGGTTTTTGCTTCTGCGTGGGGTGAGTCATCCTCCATTGGGCTTCTCTTGGGCTCTACTTATGGTTACTAGTAGGCTTCTCTGTCATTGGACCTCGTATTTATCATGAGAGCTCCATATTCTTCTCTTTATAGCTCTTTTGGTCCTCCAGAGTTATCCCATACTTGATTCAAATCCTCCTAGATTGCTTTATTCCTTGAAACCCATAAAAACATACAAAGAAGGCATCAAAGAGTACAAAAATACAACATAGGTCTATTAAGTGTTCATTGATCCAATAGTTATGATTTATGTATGAAATAAAAGAGAAAGTACTAAAGATGTATTGATAAAAGAGAAAAATGATCAAATATAGGAGCGTTGACCACTATAAATAAAATGTCATCAGAACTATGGGAGTGAACCTTCTATTTGATAACTAGCTTTTTACCTGCCCGTTGAGCGGTGTGTTTTGTTTGATTGTTCTTTGTTGTTGTTATATTCTAATTTTTTGACGGTTCATGTAAATTATACTATTATGCATAAAATTGTTAATGTTACTTACCTTTTAGCTATAGTTCCAAGCATTTTTATCTATCGTTTATTTATGAAAAAGTTAATTTTGCTAAATTAGCTATTTGTAGACCTTTTGTTTATTGATTTATAGTTTGGTATCGAAAATGCTGCTTAAGACATAAGTATTGGATGTCAAAATTATAAAAATTGAAATAATTATATCACACGTTAGTTTTTTTATCGAACTCATCATTAAATAAAATAATTCTATTAATATTTTAGCACAAAAAAGTATAAAAAATTACAGGGCGCATACGAAGAAATTAAATAAGCAAATATGTTACAATTAATAAAAAATCATAAGTGAAGATCTTATCATTTTTTCTCCCTTCTCTTCTGTTGGTATAGGGTAATAAAGCATATTGCAATCTAAATCCCACTATATCATACAAAATTA